TGAAAGGTATTCTTTAAGAAGAGGAAGAAGAAGAAAAAGGTAAAGATAAAAATTATGAACAAATACATATCTATCAAGTGAATCTGAAAATCATAAAAATACATATCTAAAAATACATATCAACAAGTGAATAAAAGAACTGATGTATAGAATAAACTGGTGAATATTACAGAATCAGGGGCATAGAAAGGGAGTGGGCTGACAATTCTTGAGGGGAAAGGGGTATGGGTGGTGCAGGAAGAGACTGGACAAAAATCATACACCTATGGATGAGGACAGTGGGAGGGTAAAGGCAGAGGGTGGGGTGGGAACTGGGTGGAGGGGAGCTATGGGGTGGAAAAAGAGGAACAACTGTAATAATCTGAACAATAAAGATTTAATTAAAAAATTTAAGAAAATCTGACTTGTGCATTATAATAGCTCCTGTTCTTTCTATTCTTACCAGAAATTTACAAAGTATCTACACTAATAATAGACAAATATGTAAATTGGCCATACCTCTGTGATTCCCCACAGCCAATCAGGAGGGAATATACAAATTAGGACAAAGATGCTGGTGGCCACGGAGCCAGCTGGAGCAGGCAGCAGGCTTGGGTCACACCCAGTGACTGAGGAAGCCAAGCTTCCTGCTCACCTGGGCCGGCCACTGAAGGAGGGGCCTGTGGGCAGTGGCCACAGAGCTGGCCTGAGCGTGCGGGAAGCTTGGGTCGCCCGGCTGGCTGCCTAAGAAGGGGACTGCAAATGGCCCTCAGTTCCTCACCCAAGCTGGCCACACCACCACCGAGGTAAGTGTCCCTCTGGGGGGTGTGGCCAGCCTGAAAATGGCCCTCAGCCCCTTACCCAGGCTGGACACGACCCATGGGGTGAAGGTCCCTGCTGGGGGGTGTGGTCAGCCTGCAAACGGCCATCAGCCCCTCACCCAAGCTGGCAATGCCCCCCCAGGGAACCTCACCCCATGTGGGCATGGCTGGCCTGCAAACTGCCCCAGCCCCTAGCCCAGGCTGGCACCATCCTCAGTGGGGACCCTCCCCCCATGGGGGCATGGCTGGCCTTCAAACCACCACAGGCCCCTTGCCCAGGCCACCCCACCTCACAAGGGAAACCCCACCCTGATCCAGGACACGCTTCAGGGCAAATCAGCCAGCCCCCACCCATGACCAGGCCTCTATCTATACTAATAAAAGGGTAATATGGTAGACTGGGAGACCTTCCAGGAGACCTTCCAACATTCTTCTGGACAAAGCCATGATGGCGGAGTCGAGGTAGAGGTGGTTAGGGGCCAGCAGTTGTGAGTGATCAGGCTGTGGGGGCGGGAGGGGAACAGGGGCCAGTTGGGGGCGAGCAGGTCAGTGGGGTGGGAAGGTGAGGGTGAGCAGGCCAGCAGAGGGGGCAGTTGGGGGTGAGCAGGCCGGCAGGCAGAGTGGTTAGAGGCAATCAGGCAGGCAGGCAGGCAGATGAGTGGTTAGGAGCCAGCAGTTCCAGATTGTGAGAGGGATGTCCAACTGCCGGTGTAGGCCCGATCCCACAGGGGTCCCAGATTGGAGAGGGTGCAGGCCATGCTGAGGGACACCCTCCTGCCCTGTGCATGAATTTTGTGCACCAGGCCACTAGTTTGTATATAACCATTAACTTGATTTCTCAGCCAGTAAAGTATCATATACTTTTGATGACCATTACATAAATATAATTTAAAAATTTCACTTTAACCCACAAAGCCAAGAATGACTTTTGTTTAAATCTTGATACCCAAATACATTTATGAAATTACATAAGTATGGTAGGACTACAATTCTTCTTTCCCATCTTCATTCTCATTGTTATTCACAGTAGAAGAAATATAAGTATTTCTCAGAAATATTACAGATTCAGTTCTGACCACTGGAGTATCTTGATTTTAAAAAAAAGTCCTAATCTTGTTGCTGATGGAGGATTGTAAAGCTGGAGTGGGCAGCAGGCTTGGGTCACCCTCAGTGACTGAGGGCCATTTGCAGTCCCCTTTTTATTGTAAAAAACAAGCACAATAAAGTGAGCTATGCCTATACATCCTATATTTGAAACTGTCTTTTTCAATGATTTCTAGTTCATATTACATTGTTTCATGTCTTATCTAGCCATTGTCTCTAGAATTTAGTGCTGAATCCATGATTCTTCAAATAGGTTATATATAAGTTTTTATCACTAATATGGCCACATATTACTTATTAACTTTTGCTATGTATATTATTTGTGGTCTATCTATTTTTATCATCCATTTCACATAATGCCATCCTTTTTCACCCTTTTCTTTAACTTACCTAGCCTCTTGGCCACTGACCAGCTGCAGGACTTGGGTAATACAAGCTTCTGCTTCATCCAGGCAGTTCTTCAGGCGTTGAAACAGCTCACTGTTAGAAAAGCATTTCTCATGGGCCTCAGACTCCAATTCCCTTAGCTCTTCAAAGCCTGCAGACAGAGAAAAGTTGCAAAGAGAAAAAGGAGGAAGAAAAAGGCTGTGAATGCTGAAACAAAACAGCTTGCCCATGTGTCTTTCCATTTCTCATCAACTTAATGCACTTCTGGCCATTCTCTACCGCCAAGGCCATTCGTACTTTGTTTGCCCAGGAGTCACAGGACTCAGCTGGAATCTTCAGATTATGTAAGATAATGAGTAGCTCATCCAAGGTGTACCGATATCTGGAGGGGGAAAAAAAAGGCAAGAAAGAGGACATCTGACACAGCTCTGATACTTCCTCTGTATCCTCTAAAATGATTATGTAAGATAATGAGTAGCTCATCCAAGGTGTACCGATATCTGGAGGGAAAAAAAAAGGCAAGAAATGTTTTGTTTTTTACAAGGCAACTGGGACAGCAGCCGCCTCTTGCACCCACTGTTAGCGCACCCACTGTTCGAGCTGGCAGCCAAGGGACCGAGCCCCACAGTGGGAGGGGCTGAGCGGGAGTCTGGAGGATGGGCTGAGACCTGCCCCTGTGCCCACCACAGCTTCATGGCCCAGTTTCTTTCAAGGTGCACAAATTCGTGCACTGGGCCCCTAGTACACTGTAAATACCAGGAGCAGGATTATGGACACCCCACTTCAGCCAACACTAAGCCCTTTTGTGGGCTCAGCCTTGTTAGGATAGCTGAAGGGAAATTGAAAGGAAAAAATATAAACACATGGTCTCTGTTTCCATTTAAAATGTCTGACTTAGAGATGCAGCATAAAGTGCTTATTCAATTTTTGTCTTTGTCTCTCTTCCATATTATACTTCAATGAATTTCTAAGCCCTGTACCCACTACCCACCCACCTTCTCCCACAAAGCCTTTCGTAAACGTCGCTCCTCCTGCACCATTATGAACATCTCCTTGTGCACAGCCCTAGCCAGATTCAGGTCCAACTTCTCTGGAAAGGCAGCCATCTTACAGATGAGCTTCCCATGGGAGAAGACACAGTAGCACTGGAGCTGGCAGTAGTGTTCAATACATTGGCGTCCAGCTGGTAGCTGTAAGTAATTTAAGACACTGTGCTATCTGGGAGTCAGTGCTTAGATGCTCCACAGTGACCTCTACCTTTAATCCTTGTGTCTGTCCACTCTAAGCCCACCATATCCTTAACTCACCCAGTCAGCAGTGCAAAAGTTGACAGCCTCAGCAAAGTTGTAGCCTTGGTTAAAACCACTGTGGTAAGCCCGAGGGAAAATAATAACAAATTCTCCTGCACACTGGTTTGTGTGAACAACCTAAGAAAAGAGAGAAAGGGGTTTGAGTCAGGACTAATGGCATGTAGGCTTAAGATTGCCTGTGAGTCTTCTTACAGGTGTAGGGAAAGGAAGAGACATAAGCTCTATATTCATGTACGTGCTTTAAAAGAGAAAATGAGAACATGAGGTTAAAAGTAATATTATAAGCCATGGCCTGGTAATTCAGTTGGTTAGAACACTGTCCCGTATACCAAAAAGTTTGTGGGTTCAATTCTCACTCAGAGCAAAAATGGGAAACAACCAATTTATGTTTTTCCCTCTCCCCCTTCATCTCTCTCTAAAATCAATAAACATTTTTTTGGGAGAGGATTTTTTTAAAGCAATACTTAGAGAAAAGTACAAAGAAAAAGAATGTGCAATACAAGAACTAAATATAAGTGAACCATAAATATGAGAAAAAAATTTCAATTTCTTCAGTTAATTGAGAAATATAAATTGAAAAAGTTAGAAACTGCCACCAGAAATAATGAAAGGTAAACTCCAAAATTTCATCCCTGTACTAAACCAATGGTTAAATTGGAAGAAAAGATCAACATGATACTTTTGTAATTAGCTAGTTATTAATAAAGGAAAGGAGCAAAGAGAAGGCCAGACATTATAAGCATGGTGATTTATGCAATTTGACCAGGAAGCTGCAACCTCACACTCCTCAGGGACCACCAACCTATGCCCTGCAGATCACAGGGAAAAGGGTCCAACAAAAAGGAGATAGTTGCATACCCAGGGAAGCTGTGGTGACATAGGGAAAGTATTAGACAGTTATCTCTGGGGACAGATATCACTGGCCAGAGTGGATGTAGCCACTGTAAACCCATGAAAATTTGGGAATACGTAGTCCCGTAAACAAAGGAGTTCTCTCTGTTGTTCTTGTGACTCTTGGCTCTCTTTCATTTGCTGGTGTGGCCCATGGCCAGGCAGATGCAACATGCAATGGACTGATGAAGTGCAGCAGGAAAAACAAACTAAACAAGCCCAATGTTGGACTGGACTATAACCTGACATGGAACAGAGACTTTGGACACTGGCTCTAATTCTAGCCTTACAATTAAAGCCATAGCGACACCTATGGCAGGACTGAGGAAAAGGGGACCTTTGAAATCCAGGGTTTAATTCCACACAAAATCACTCCTACTTGCACCAAAAAATTCTTTTTCTTGGAATATTGCAAGAATTCCACTCGGACAAGCAACAGGTAGGGATGAGGATCTATCCCCACCAGAAACAAAAGTATTTTCAATACTGTGTAGTAGAATCACAAACTATAAATACCAGGAGAACATTTAATAGAAAAAAACAAAACAGCAAAAAAGTAACCTCTAAATTTTGGTAAAAGAGCCTTGTGCTGTAATTATTTCAGCCTGTCTACAACCCCTCCAATGCATTCTCAGAAGCTACAATGGCAACAGCAGTGTAAGATCCTGATACAGCTTATCGGTGTCAGAGTACAATGTGGACCTTATTTCAAAAAAGTGAGGACATGTGTATTATTTCACCTGCCTGAGAGTTTCCCCAGTACACAAGTGGATTCACAGGCTCTGTTTGTTGAAAGTATATAAAGTCAAATGTATTAGCCACAGTACAGCTACCTGTGGTAAGAGGAGAGACTAGGCAAACAACAAAAATTCTGAAATGCCTCAGAATAAAAAGGAACGGTACAGAAATATTTGGAGGTGGGGTTATTAAGTGTTCTGAAAAAGCTCCCACTTATTAGGGGAAATTGAAAAGGCTAGAAAAAGACATGAGAAGACCCTAAGTTCCCACTCTGGTAATCTTTCAACTAAACAAACTATGACTACTACACAAAAATCAGCACCAACCGGAACTGGGTATTGTGGGTAGACATGAGTTGTATAACATAATACTCAAATATTCAGTTTTTAAGAAAAAACTAGGAGACATACAAAGAAACAAGAATGTATGATATATTCAATACAACTATCCCTGATAGCCCAAGCATTGGACTTTCTCAACAAAAACAGAAAATAAACCCTTAAATAGGCTCAAAACCTGGAAACAACAATAAAAAAGAGAATGATGCTCCACAAGAAGAGAATTCCAAATAAAGATGTAACAATTAGAAAAAGGCCAAAGAAAAGTATTCTGAAAGCTAAAAACTACCACAATTGAAGTGAAATTCACTAGCCAATTTCAATAAAGGTGGAAAAGCAAAAGAACTGGTGGGCTTTAAAATAGGTCAATTGGCATTATCCAGTTTGAGAAGAAGAGCAAAAAGGGAACATAGGAAAATAAAGAGGCCCTGAAAGACCTATAGGGTACCATAAAGTAAATAATATATACAAAATGGGACTAAAAGAGAAAGAAGAGAGAGATAAAGGGGCAGAAAGAATACCTAAATAAATAAAGGCTAAACAATTACCAAATTTTAGGAAAGAATGAATCTATACATCTAAAAACCTCAAATCCAGGTAAAGATAGTATAATCAAATTGTCAAAAACTAAAGGAAGAGAATATTGAGAACAGCAAAAGAGAAGCAATTCATCAAATTAGTAAGTCCTTAATAAGATAACCCACAGATTTCTCAGCAATCACGGATGGCAGAGGCATTGGGATAATATATTTTAAGTAGTGAAAAGGAAGGAGAAACCCTTAGGGATTTTGTCCGCTGAAAATATCTATATATCCTATCTAATAATAGAGAAACATGGTAATTAGCCGTATCTCCGCTACCCTTCCCATTGGCTAATCAGGGCGATATGCAAATTAACTGCCAACCAAGATGGCGGCCAGCAGCCAGGCAGCTTGAAGCGAACAGGAGGCTTGCTTGCTTCAGTGAC